AGCTACTTACTTCGGCGCCTCAATCCTCCTTTAACTCCTCACGCCTCTGGTCTGAGCTTCGCGCGCTGGGTCTCATTCCAAATCCAAATCCTCTGCTCCTCCCCCCGATTTTTCTCTAGACGAGATGAATCGTTTCTTTACCACTGCGCATCTTTCCCTATCCCTCGATACTCCTCTTCTAAGATCGCCTATCCATCGCCTTTCCTCTTCCCCTTCCGTCTCCTCTGTCCCTTCTCCTTCCGCGCCTCCTCCTGCCACCGATCCTGAACTGTTTTTCTTCCAACATGTCACTCCTGAGGTCCTCAGCAAGGCCCTCCGCAAAAGCTCCTCTAACTCTAAGGGCCCGGACGATATCTGCCGCCGGCTCCTCAGGGACAGCCTACCTGCAATTTTCTTCCTGCTCCTCGACATCTTCAATGCATCGTTCAACTCCTCATCCTTCCCCTCCGCTTGGAAATTATCTCATGTCGTTCCTCTTCTCAAATCCAAATCTCCCACGTCTCTCTCTAATTTTCGTCCCATTTCCCTTCTCTCCCAATTCTCCAAAATTTTCGAGCGGATTGCCTTTGACCAGCTCTCTGCCCTCAGTCATCTTAACCTGCTCGACCCCATGACTGGGTTCAGGCCTGGGAACAGCACCCAGACTGCTCTGGTCAGGCTGACGGATGACGTCAGACTGGCCATTGACAAGCGGCAGGTCACCCTGCTAATACTTTTCGATTTTTCCAAGGCCTTTGACTCGGTCTGCCATGACCTCCTCCTACGAAAACTGGAAGGTTTCTGTCTCTCGCGCTCGGCACTGGACTGGTTCCGCTCATATCTCTCCGGCCGCGCTCAGAGGGTCCGCGGGTCGCGGGATGAGTGGTCGTCATGGGCTCCGGTGCTGGCCGACGTTCCTCAGGGTTCCGTCCTAGGTCCCCTCCTCTTCATACTGTTTATTAATGACTTGAGGCGGACCCTCAGGTTCTGCAGGCACATCCTCTATGCCGACGACCTGCAGATTTATCTCCACTTCGACCCTAGCGATCTCGAGGACGCGGTGGACCGGATCAGGGGAGGATGCCGCTGCCATCGAGA